CCCCGCCCCCAGCCCCGCCCCCTGCTCCTCTGCTTCCCAGCTCTGCACGTGCCGTCACACTTCATCTCAACGCCTCAACAGCTGTTCGCAGCCAGCTCCAGGACATCGGAGCCATGTTCTTTCTTTTAGTGCTTCTCACCGGACTTGGTGGGCTGTACGCAGGCGACAGTAAGTATCAAGATGATCTCTTCGCGCAGTCCGGGCATCTGCGTGGTACTTGTTCTCCAGGGAAGGGTTCTTTCCCACCGCAGACCAAGGCTGAGGTTTTGCCTTTGGTCCATGCTCACACTATTTCCAGCCCCGTCCTCTGGGCAGACCAACAGAGAGGAAGAGATTATTTGCATTTCTTGTAACAGTTTTTTTATTCTATAAAATGAACAAAAATGAAATCTGTGTTGCCACCCCTTCTAAAATCCTGCCACTTTAGGAATAATTGTATCACCACAAATAAGTTTTTCATCTACTATTTCCTGGTTTGTTAATTGTTATCCTTTCCCTGCTCCACTGAAAATTGTGTATGTAATATTCAACATTCTTTCCCAAAAATAATCTCCCATTTCCTGATGCATATGTGTTTTCACACTCCCATGACTTTGACAGCACTGTAACTTGATATTCAATATTAGCTATTTTGGGTTGTTGAACTGCTGATTGTGGTGAGAGAGAGAGAGAGAGAGAGAGAGAGAGAGAGAGAGAGAGAGAGAGACAGACACAGAGACAGAGACAGAGACAGAGACAGACAGAGACAGAGACATAATAAAAACTGAGATATTGGCTAGAGCTCAGAGACTTGTAGATAAGAATGGCTAAAAAGACAGTGGAGGCCAGGAGTGGTGCCACATGGCTGTAATTCCAGCAGTCTGGAGACCAACGGGGGAGGATTGCTGTGAGTTTGAGTTTGAGGCCAACCTGGGCTACATGGTGAGTTTAAGGCCCACCTGAGCTACACAGTGAGACCATGTCAAAGAGAGAGGGAGGAGGAGAGTGGGAGAGAGCGAGAGCGAGAGCGAGAGCGAGAGCGAGAGCGAGAGCGAGAGAGAGAGAGAGAGAGAGAGAGAGAGAAGGGTGTATAGAATATTTAAAAATAGCTGCTAATGCAGAGAACAAATGCATAAGTAGTATATACTTACTGAAATATCACTTATTTCTATTTTTAGATCCTCATAAAACCTTTGTGCAGACCACAATTCCTGAAAAGATATCATCAGTAGATACAAGAAGAGATCCAGAAAATAATGTAATTGGGAATAGTATTTTTATATCTTAGATTCTCTTACATTGCCTTTAAAATATCCAGTCCAATGCTGGTGAGCATAGGCAGAACTGAGAGTCCAGAACATGTTCATAACAGCCTATTGGGTGGCTATGGGTACACATAAAATTCTGTGTTCCTGTTTGGAAAGACTTTAGGAATAGTGTCTCAGTTCTTTTCTTACTGCTTAGACAAAATACCCAATGCCCATAAATTAATGGAGGGTATTATTTGTAGTTCACAGTTTGTAGTGGTTTTCATCCGTAGTTGGCTGGTTCTAAGACAGGGTAGAATCAGAGCGGTATGGCAGAGGAGAAGCAGTCCATGGCAGGGAAAGAAGGAGGGAGCACGGAGCAAGCTTTCCTGTTATTTTCATTCCACCTAGGCTACAAGCCCATTGGTTGGTGCCACCCACACGCAGGTGGCCCTTCCCCTCATCCACACCCAGAACTATGCTAATCCAGTCAGCACACACAGGTTAGTACCATCTGTAATCCACTATGAGCAATCCATGATGCAGCCACCTCCCAAAAACCCCGTCTAAGAGGAAATGAAGCTTTAGAGGGTCATCTTGATGTAAACCATAATACATGGAATCCCTCAAGATAAAACTTAAGGGAATAGGAAAAAATAGGATTCTCTTAAGGCAGTTTTAGAGAGACAATAAGGTGAGTCATATTATTTGTCTTTAGCATGGTATTCTGGTGGGGAAGATCTGATCTAATAACAACCATGAAAATCAGGTAGGTTCTCCCCAGAAATGAGGGCAGTGGTAATAACAGGCAGAGGTGCATTAGACCTAGTTCTCAGTTTAAACTTTGAAGTTTCAAATATCCGCATAGGAAGGGAAACCAATACAATTGTTTATGATTAATACTGTCAATTTTTAAAGCATAGGTTAAAGCAGAAAAGTAACTTACTATATTGCATACAAGTATTATTGGATTTTTGGAATACTTTTGTTCCAGGTTGCTTATATCATTACATTAAAAGGAAAACCATATTTTGTCCATCTTAAAAAACAGTAAGTATTTTAAAAAGCAGTAAGTATTTTGCCTTTAAAAGTTTCAATTCTTCAGGGTCTTGATTATTAAAAATTATTATGATGAGTATCATTTCAATTTAAATGCACTGATAGTTATTGTATAGTGGGAACTAGGGAAAGTCTTGGGTATAAAAAGAGACTACAACATGAATTTGAAATGGAAGAATAAATATTTAGACACATTAATAGAGAAATGGAATTTTATTATAATATGATAAATATGTAAGTAATATTCTTTGAAAGTTTGGGAAGGTGGGAAGGCTTTTGAAAAGAGGAAAGAGATGACTGTGTGTTGAGGGAAAGTGCAGAGGAAGCAGTGGGACACCACACTGATCAGAGAGAAGATGATTAGCATTTATTCAGGGATCAGAGGCAAAAGTAGAGTGACTAAGTACTGACTGCAATAGCTTAGGTAAATAATGATGGGACCTCGGCCTTGAAGCACTGGAAAGGAAAGCTCAGTAGGTCTCATTGTAGATATGGTAGAGTGACCATGAAACAGGGAGAAACCATAGGTAATTTGGTTGCTGCTCAAGAAGAAGGATAAGATTATGGTACAATTAAATGAGAGATATGAACCAGAAAGATATTTGTATGAGGAATGAGTGGGTTTGGATTTTATGCCTATATGATATCCAGGTAAGCTTTTTACACTAGATAAGTAAATACAGTTATTTAAATCTCTGAGGACCTTCAGTTGAAATATAGATTTAATGGTAAGCAGTAACATGGTCGCAGTATTGTTACTATTTTCATGAGTGCATGCATAGTGTGTTTAAAACTGGTAAATAGCTGAAGTTTAAATCTGGGGAAATACTAATATTTCTGAGATAGACAGAAAATAAAGTGCACACAATCTGGAAGATAAAGCTGGGGGGAGGTTCACAAAGCTAGGAAATATAGTAGAAAAGTGAAGTGTAGTATATATCAAGTGATTGGACTCAGCATCCACAGTTTTTAAATAGAAGCTAGAGGCCTCATACAGTAATTAGTTTAAAAATATCTTTCAAACTTGGCATACTAGTGGTTATAGATATTCTCCAGAGAATTTTTGCATGAGTAAGATTTGTGAAAGTGGAGCACATATATGTTGACCACTCTGGATAAAAATCATTTGAGAACTGAAAAATATGAAGGGCATATAAAAAGGAAACCTGGGGGTAGTTATTTAGGATGGTAAGGATTTGAATGTAACTTTTTTAATAATGTTAACATAAAAATCTGACAGAGAGAGAGAGAGAGAGAGAGAGAGAGAGAGAGAGAGAGAGAGAGCAAGAGATAGGGAGTAATCAATTCTAGTTGTAGGAGAGAAAGTGCACATTTTTGGTTCATGGCATAGGAAAGGCCCTGTAGCACAGGGCTAACAGCTTTAAATAAAAGAAATAGCCACCTGGTAAAAGGACTGAGGATGGGTACATGATCTGAGAGCCAGGAACATGATAGTCATGTAGATAATTGGTAGGAGAGGTGTCAAGATTTTTTCTTTTTTTCCTTTTTTTAAATTTACTACATTTATTTGCAAAGAGTAGATAAACAAAGCATAAGATAACAATGCTAGAAATGAAACAATTTCAAGAAAGGGACTATGTATGTGGATTTTGATGATTAACAAAACATGAGTTTACCTGTCAACTGCCTGCTCAGTTTATTACAGTTTGGTCAAATAAGTATATGTATTTCTCAATACACAATAGTAAGAAACATTTCTTTTTTTTCTGCTTTTTTAAAATTTTCCATAATTTTATGAAGAGACAAATAGCAATGAGACAGTTTAAAAATCAAATTGGTAGGACAGTTTCAATAATTAACACATTGCATACTCTCTTCCTAGTGGTTAGTTGCTGTATAAGATGCAGACATTGAATAGTTACTGAAATGAATGAAAAGAATTTTTGGCTAAGATTATTTAAGGAAGTCAGGACTGAACTAAGCTTAGTGTATATGAACTGTAGTGAGATCAGGCAAACCTTTTAAAATTTAGACTTAGGTCTAAATTTTAATTTTGAGATTCAAATATAACATCTGAAATCAATGAGTGATGAAGACAAATATTTAAAGACTCTGCTGGAAATTAGCTTTTTAAAGAAACTAGTCATTTGAGTTGTTCACAGACCTACATTTTAGTATGATGTGTCACTGTAGTAAAATACCACCCTCAGTATGTGGCTTATGTGACAGGAAGCAGTTGAACAACAGGATTTTCTAAGTCACTGACCTTACCTTAAATTCCTTTATACACAGACAATATGTACATGAAGGTAAATATTTTGGGTTTTTTTTCAATTGAGCATGTTTTTATGATTTTTGCCTAGGTCATTTTTATCTTCAGCTTCTGTTGTTTATTCTTATGACAAATATGGTGTTCAACATTCTCAGTCTTTGTTACCTCAGGTAAGTCTTAGATTTCTTCCTTATAGACTTTTTATTCTGCATTATTATTATAATATTAGCCATCTATACATACTAGAATATTCTTTTACACATTCAGTGAAATTAAATACCCTGTGTATGTTATTTCTTCCTGCCATAAATTTATCTGATAATTGAAAGTTTAATAACCTACTAAGGTGCATAAAGATATAAATATAAATGACATGTCTTGGGTATGCATTTCAAAAATAAGTCATCCATTTGCTTTCTTTATGTGTTATCTTTTGCAGATGGATTGCAGCTACAGCGGATATGTCACAGGGTTTCCACATTCTCTTGTGGCACTAATGACTTGTTCGGGACTCAGGTTGTAGACTAAAGATAATGTAATTTGCCCACATTAAATCCTGACAGCCTATAAATTAATCCTCCATTTATCTTCCCTAATTCTATAACCACTTTTGTATTTCAGTTCTATGAGGATTCTATCAGAACTTGTAGTAAAATAGAGTTGGTCACCCTGGCAGTATCCATTCATGATAAGAGGCTATTTATTGATCCTGACAAGATCTGCTCATCTAGGCTTTGAGAAATCTTGAAAATAGGGAGTATAGATTTGTCTCTCCCTGCTTCTTTTTTAATTTTTTTTTATTTTATAAAAAGAGTTCAAAGTAGTATTAAAACAGAAAAATTACAAGTAATACAAAATTTTATTTAACAAAGTAATATGAATTTCACAGTATTTGTTGTAATACACAGTGTTGTCTTCCAACCAGTTATTCATATTACCAGATATATGCATGCAAAAATGGAAGAAGAAAAGAAAGAAATATATAAGAAATTAAGAGGAGAAAAAGGAAAAACAATTGAAAAAAGGAGACAAAACAAATTAAACATTATCTACTCCTTTCCATAGACCAACAGAAACCCACAGTAAAGTTGTTGGGACTATATATCTTGTTTACATACATAGATATATCTCTTTTCCCCACTCCCTTTCCTGTCCTTCTCCTCAAGTTAGTAACTCTTTTCTTTTTAATAAGTTCATTCCCTTTTCCCATTATTTATTGTACCCTTCAGATTCCATTTTCTCTTTCAGGTTCTCACACTAAGGAGAAAAATATGATGTTTGCACATGCAGGTCTGATTTATTTCACTTAAGAGTATGTTCTCTAGTTGCATCCATTTAACCACAAAAGTCTGAAATTTATATTGTTTTATAGCTGAGTCATACTCCAGTGTGTAAAAATACCACATCTTGTTTTTCTCCTTGCTTCTTTACACTTCCAAAATTCTGTTTTTTTACTAACCTCAACTTCCTAGAATAATTTATAATTCTAGAAACCATGAACCTGTAAACATTTTGGCCCTGTTTTGTTTAAGCATGTAGTATATTAGTTAGGCCACGTAAACAAATGATTTAGGGCAATAGTATCAGAGAAAAGTTAGATCTTCAGATATTTGTGGAGCAAAACTTCATCACTTTATTTTACACATAGCTTACATAACAAATATAAAGTCCTAATACTAAATAATTCAGATGTCATAGCGTGGTCCATAAAGGAGTCTTAGCTTGTGTAAGAACACAAGCCCATGTCATTACCATGAAATATTATTATTATCATCATTATTTTGTATTTAGTACAGGATCTACAGGATCTCAATACACAGATCAGACTTGTAGTGATCCTCCTGTTTTCATCCTTCCAAGTGCTGAGATTATCGGTGTATGCCACCACACCCAGCCTCCATGCAATCTTTAAAATAATTTAAAAATCTTCGTAATAGAAAACAACATGTGCCTTATGGTTTGTTTCTGGTTTAAGACTTCAAAAACCAAAGAGATAAAGTAAAAAAATGAAAGTGACTTTGAGTTCTACAAGAAATTTCTAACCAAAATTTAGAAAAACTTACTTAATATAAGTAAGAACTTATATGATAGACAGAGACAGTCACACCCTAGTGGCTATCAACATCCATGTAAATAGCAGAGTGGGAAGATGCAGAGCCCAGTGGGGATGCCAGCCACACAGTAGGGCTCCCAGCCAGGATGGAGAGGCAGGACCAGCAGCATGAAATTGTCAGAAGTAACAGAAACAGAAAGAACCAACAGGTGGTAAATTAGGTGATCCAGTATTGTGCTGGGGAACAAAGACACACGGATTAGAAGCAGAGGTGGAGCTTCCTTTTTGTCTCTCTTTTTTATTATTCTTTTTTTCCTTTGATAAAGGCTGGGAAGAAATCCAGCCACAGAAAACTAATTCCATACCCAAAACCCAGAGACCAACTTTATATAATCAGTCACTTACTCCTTCTTTCTTCTCTTTTGTCCTCTAGTTTCCCAAAACTTTAATGATCATCCTCTGTTCTCCAAGCTAGCTTCAATTTTCTTTTCAGTTATCTTGGTTTTATCCTCTCTTTCTCAAATTTACTCATCACAAGGTAAAAACCATTCTGCCAAGGGGAACCACTTTACATACAAGCTCCCAATTTATGATCAGTTTTGTCATATAACTTTAGATCATGTTTCTATGGTTGACAAAGGTACAAAATTAATAGTTACCACAGTTTTCAGTACCTAAACTGTGCTAAATGTTATTATTGTTGCTAATATAAAGTAGTTATACTACTTTAGCTAAGATCTCATTTCTGTTTTAACCAGGTTTTCACACTTAACAATACTGGGAAATTCTGGGACAATAACCTCACCACACCACAACACAAGAATATTGGAGACTGAGCCAAACAGATACCAAAATCTCTAGATTAATTGAAAAGATAGGATCTTAGGAAAGTCACAAACCAAAAATCTCACACATGTAGAAGATAACCCCAAAGAGCAAACTCTACCTAGAGAGGTCTTGATACTACTGATATAGATACCTACCTCAAAAACTTGCAAGGATCACAACAGAAAACAAAATAAAAGCTTTGAAAGAAGATAATAAGACACAGGTGGAAAATGCAACTTCAGACCCACAGCCCATCCAGAATAAGTGACAACAACATAAAGGAAAATGGAAGGCACACACCTGACATTTCTGAAATGGTAGCAACTAAAGTAAAGAAACAAAGCCACAAGGCTATAGAGAAAAGTAGATCAGAAATAATCTCTCAGTGGTGAGGTTAAGCTTAATAACCTAAGTCATTTGATAATAACAACAAGCTTGTCTTCTGGATGGTTAACAACCTAAGTTTGCAGACCAAAATTAGAGAAAAAAGAGGGCTACAAGGAAAGCCAACATTTTGGCCCTAACCTTCTAAGGTCCAATAAGACTCAGGACATATGAGAACTTGTACTGTAACGTCATGGAACTCAGTAGTGTCCCAAATTTTCTGATGAAGGATATTATGGGGCCAAAGAGGAAAGTGATCGATGATGTAGAGTGTGCCTAAGGAGAGTCACATGGAGAGAAAACACTCTCTCAGGCTTTCACAGAGAGCACATTGGCCAAGCAATGGCTGTGATTCATCCACATGGCTGACACTGATAAAGGTTCTACAATCGGAGGTACAGGATCTCAGGATAAATCCTGAGGGGTTTTCACTGACCTTCTCAGACCAAAAAGCTACAGCTCTTGTTGCATAGGTCCTGCTTTACCTTGGTCTTAACCATCCAGTAGAAAAGTATGAAGACGAAATATAGGAAGTAAAGCCATGATGTTATGTTGAGCTGTGGGGAACTCAGGTCAATAATTTCTGACATTGCCAGTTAAACAAAAGACCCATTGCTATTATGGGCTACTGGACTCTTTTAGAATATTTTGCTGAGTTTACAAACCTATAATATTCAAATAACGGAACTTAGAAAAAAAGGGGTATACAGATGAATATCCATTTTGTATCTGTGTATTCAAAATGGATGGGATAGATATATAGTTACATTCTCTTAATGAATAGAATGATTTGTTCTAATGGTGTTTGTAAGTAGGATCTCAAGTTCACATCTTGTACAGCAATTAACCACTAAGAAGAATGTATGCACTGTGTTATTGAAACTGTCCTAGCGATTTGATTTGAAACTGTCTCATTGCTATCTGTTTATCACTAAAATTATGAAAAAAAAGAAATAATCTCTCAGGTAAAAAAATAAATAATAATTATAATGAAAGAATCTCTCAGTATATCTAAACAAGACACAGATTAAAAAAAAATTAGAGGAGTGGAATTGGAAGTTTCCAGTTCTGTCACTCTCTTTCTCTTTAAGGAAGTGTATGAGCAGCAGACACTGAGTTTCAATCATGAAAATCATTACCTGACCAGCAAGACAATCACCTTCGAGGTGGAGTCCAGAGACAACATGGAAAATATCAATGTCAAAGTGTATGACAAGGAGGGCATCCTACCTAAGTAGCAGCATCTGTTATTTGCCTACAAACATTTGGAGGACAGCCAGACTCTGCCCCCAACTACAACATCCACAAAGAGCCTGCCCTGTACCTGGTGCTTTGAGGATCATTGAGTCATCCCTGTGCCAACTGACCAACAAATACAAATATGAAATGATAAACTAGGCTCCCCTGCACACCTGTGCCATCAACCCACAAGAAGCTTGGCTATGCCAACAAACTGGGCCCCAAGAAGATGGACAAATAAAGGTCTGCCAGCTCCTTCTCTGGAAAGGCATCATCTGCCCAAGCCCATGGCCTTAGGGCCTGAATAAATTTTACCTCCTTTGACTAGAGCAATAAATAAATAAATATATGAAAAATAAAATAACATAGGATAATGATGGAAACCTGGAATGAACAATATAAGAAAGAAGAATATGCATGAAGTGGATTCAAAGAGCTATCCAGAAAATTAAAAATTCCATTGCAAACTGGAAAAGCTGCTTGAGCAAAACTGAAGATAGACTTTTATACCTTGATGATGGTTGCAGCTAGAAATTATAAAAGGAAAGATGTCTTACAAATAACAAGGAGCAAGGAAATAATAATTCAACAGGTGAAAGATGATGCAAAGAGAAATAAAACTGACAGGTGTCAATGAAAATGCAAGAGTCAACACAAATGACATAAAAAGATTATTTGTAGAAGTAATAGTAGAAAATTTCTGAAGCATGGGAAGAGAATCTGACACACAGTATCTGAGGCATATAGAACTCCAATTATCCATAACCAAAATAAGTCTACACCAGACATATAATAAGATTCCAGAAATTCAGCCCAAGAACAGAATATTAAAAGCTGTTAAAGAAAAGAAACAGATCACCTATAAAGGAAAGCCCATTGGCATCATGGCAGATTTTTCAACACAAACCATCAAAACCAGCTTGGAGTCCAACATTTTAAGTCCTGAAAGAAAACAACTTCCAGCCTAGATTGATAAAATCTACAAAATTGTCTTTAGAAATAAGATACTTCC